AGATCCGTGCTATCCCCTGGGCTACTGCAACGCTGTTAGGTTCCTTGGGAAGGATCTGTGGGTGAATTTTGCACAGATACAGGGTCTTGCAGGAATGTTTCTGGAGGATTGGAAATGTGGCTTTCCGAGTTTGAGGAGCTAATTTTATATATATACATTTATGTATAAAAGTGTATGTATATAGAGTAAAATTATATAATTACATGTTAATTATGTGTAATTATAATTAATACCTATAGTAACTCTAATGTATAATAATTACATATAAAATGCCTTGGATGCAGATTCTTTTAATGTAACTTCTTTCTGTTGTGAACTGGCAGCTAATATCCTGAAAAAAACCTGCTGCTTGGTTATTGGCATTTGCATAAAATCATTAATCGCTCCTCCCACTTGTTTTGCAGCGGCAGCGCTGGGCTGAACGTTGCAGTGCTGCGTTCCAGGGCATATGGGAGCTGCTCCTGCTCCATGAGGAACAGCAGGAGGCTGCCTCAGATGAATGAATAGTTCCTTTTTCCTTTCTGTCCAGCAGTATAATCTAACAAACTTGAACAAAATTTTAATTTATGCCAAGGCTTCCCGGCTGATTGCTGCTTCAGTAATTCAAGGAGTGACGTATCCAAGTTGCCTGGCTGTTAACTTTTTACTTGCCAGCTCTGGGTGTCCAGTTGCATTCTCACTGAGATCCTGACATTTACTTTGCTGTACAAATTAAAAATAGCAGCTGCTGTTGATTTCAGCGTATCGGATGATTGCAGCAGTGCAGAGTGTGGGCTGCTGTCCTTCCTCCTGAGGACACTCACCGGTGGTAACTTGGAGAAGTTTCAAGTACTCACATGTCTTGGGAGCACAAAAAAAGAAAAAAAAAAGGTTTGTGGATGTATGAGAGGAGGAGGAAGGGTAGGAAAGAGAAGGCTTGTTCTGTTATGTGAAATTTGTTTTTCACTGACATGAAAGCATTTTAAAAAAGGATTACTCTGCCAGTTAACGTTACTTTACCAGCATCCCCATTGACAAATGAGCACAACACTAACACAAAATATATATATATAGAGAGAGGGTTTTGTGTTGGCTTTGAGGTCATGGTGTGATTGTTTTTCTACACTTTTTCATGGGATTACTTGTCCTTTAGTTCTTGGAGCTTTCCCTATAAGCACTTGATAAAAGACAAATGGTTAAAGGAATGTATATAGTGGTAGTGACTCTTGGGTCTGTAGAGGAGTTTTACCTATTATTCTTCAATGGGAACAACGAAAATAAGGATCACAGGCAAAAAGCAAGATTCCTGAAGCTCGAATGCAATGTTTGTTAGGTCCATAAAAACTCCGGTATGCGTTCTGCAGTTTGGACAGGACAAATGTAGAGCAAATAATACCCTCCTAGGGTGGGAAGTCTGTTCAAGAAAACCACTGATGCAGAAAAGAGTGGAATATTAAGCTGCTTCTGTGATTTCATTAGAGAAATTAAAGTGGTTATAAACATACTGCATAATTTGGACATCTTAAACTTATTTGTGGCACTAGGAGGTTTTATTAAAATTATTTCAGACAAATGGACTTTGCTCTGATTCCTTTGCCTTCATGTGAACCATCGGTCTCTGCCGTGTGTGTCTGGGAACTTTGGCAGAAACCAGCTAAGTTAGAGAAACCTGAATTGCAGCTTTCTAGAATCAGTGAAGGAAAGAAACACATAGAAAGGGGCTTGTGTTACCAGTTATTTCTTTCAGTTAATAACATAGATCTTGTCAGCATAGCACCAGTGAACCATCAAGGCTTGCTTCTCAGAGCTGGGGCCATCAAGTCCAACTTAAACATTTCTGTCAACATCTAAACCCAAAATATGGATTTCTTAAACATTGTGTAATTCTTGTCCCTTGCTGGGCAATTTGAACTCTTGTGAAATAAATAATCTTTTTCTTCCCTTAAGTATACCCAGAACTACTTGTTTATAGACCTGAGGTGCTTGTTATTCAGCCTGTACCTTGGTAATGAAAATGCTTACCCTGTCAACCAGGCTGCAGAGTAACAGTTGTAGTGTGCTCCATTTTTCTTAATTTTGGATGTAACGGTTTAATGCAGTGATCAGCAGCGTAGGAGAGAGATGTAGGTCTAATTTCAACCCCTGTCTCACAGGTAAATTAAGTAGGAAGAGATGTTGCCTGAGGGACCTGTCATTCACTTCCTTTTGGAATTATTCTATGAAAAGTAGGATTTCCTTGGCTCAGATAAGAGAGGAAAAACTCTTAATGGCTAGGTCATACCCAAGCACAAGCC